CACACACACACACACACACACACACACACACACACACACACACACACACACCAGAATTGTCTGGCCAATAGATTCCTTTAACTCAATCCTGGTAGCTTTTTAATTGATTCTGTTATGCTGTTAATCCTTCCAATAAAAAGTGTTCATGGTATTATAAGTTATCATAATGTGAAGCTCATCAACATGAGTAATTGACAGAATCTTACTATGGCTCTTAGAGACTACAGAAATCTTTCTGGTAATAAAGATGTTTTCTTGTTGCAAGCTAAGGTTTTGATGAATTAATACTTCCAGAACCTCTTTTATTAAAAAGAAACCATATAACACATTTAAATCCTACCAAAACTTGCATTGTTACAAATACATTCTTTGTTAGTGCAAGATAAAATACTTCTTCTGCCTGCTTTAGGGCAGCTTTGTTTTCTAATAGCAAAAGAAAAGTGTTTCTGATATTCCATTTGCTTTAAATTACTTAGGCCCTTGTTACATGGTAATTTTAGGTGGCTTCTGAAGCTCTTAATTCTATATTGGCTTCATGTTAACACCTTTTAAGTAGCTTAAAGTACCCCACCCAGTGCCTCTGCCCCCAGGACCTGGATACATACCCCAGCGGAGTCAGATGGCTGGAGCTCAAGAGTTGCCTATTAATTCCACCCTATACTTTCAGAATAACTGCACCATCTTGTACCAGAATATAGCCTGAACAGAAGCAACTTAAATGGCTCAAGTTTACTCTGACCGAAAATACTGGGAATTTTGAAATGTCTTTTTATTGGAAACACTATTTGGCCCTCAGTCATGATTTCCTCTCTCTGCATGCAGAAACACACACACACACACACACACACACACACACACTCCATTTTCCATTCTTTCACAGACATTAGGGCTGGAAGGGACCTCGGAAGATCATCGAATCCAGCCCCTTTTGTAACACCAGAAGATAATTTTGTTGTGAGTTTACGTTGTGATTGTTCTTTTTTCAAGCAAACAGAAGCACTAGATCAATCAAAAGAGTGAGGTAATTTTATTCATAGATATTAGGGCTGGAAGGGACCTCGGAAGATCATCGAGTCCAGACCCCCGCTCAAAGGCAGGGAGTCAGCTGGGGTCATAGGATCCTAGCAAGATAAGCATTCAATTTTTTCTCGAAGGTGTTCAATGTAGGTGCTTGAACCACCTCCGATGGCAGGCTATTCCAGACCTTGGGGGATCGGACAGTAAAGCAGTTCTTCCTTATGTCCAGCCTGAAACGGGTCTTGCAGTAGTTTATGACCGTTCAACCTTATCATCCCTTGGGGCGCTCTGGTGAACAAATGTTCCCCCAGATACTGGTGGTCACCCCTGATAAACTTACAGGTGGCCATCAGATCACCCCATAGCCTGCACTTTTCCAGGCTAAAGAGCCTCATAGATCTCAGCCTGTCGTTGTAAGGTCTGTTTTCCTGACCTCTGATCATGAGCGTGGCTCTTCTCTGAACTCTCTCAAGCTTCTCCACATCCTTTTTGAATTGTGGGGCCCAAAACTGGATGCAGTACTCCAGCTGTGGCCTCACCAAGGCTGAGTACAAGGGGAGAATGATGTCCTGGGATTTGCTTGAGAAGCATCTATGGATGCAAGCCAGTGTTTTGCTCATTTTACTAGCCACAGCATTGCATTGAGGGCTCATGTTTATTTTGTGGTCAATGACGACCCCCAAGTCTCTTTCTTCCATAGTGCTAGCCAGCGTAGCACTGCCAAGCCTATAAGAATGCTGCAGGTTTTTTTCCCCAAGGTGGAGAACCTTGCATTTTTTGGTGTTAAACGCCAACAGGTTTTCATCTTCCCATTTGTTGAGCCTGTCCAGGTCAGCCTGGATCACCCGCCTATCTTCTGGTGCGGGTGCTTTGCCCCAAAGTTTGGTGTCATCGGCGAACTTGGCCAGTCCGCTCCTGACTCCAACATCGACATCATTAATAAAGATGTTGAACAATATGGGTCCAAGGACAGAGCCTTGGGGGACCCCACTGGTCACAGGGCACCATGACGATTGACCACCACCCTCTGGGTCTGACCACGGAGCCAATTTCCAAGCCAGCAGATCATGGTGGACCCAAGGCCACGATTGGCCAGTTTTGCCAAGAGGTGATCATGGGATACGAGATCAAAGGCTTTTTTGAAGTCCAGATATATGACATCAATCTCCTCTTCCTTGTCCAGGTGATAGGTCACTTGGTCATGGAAGGAAATGAGATTGGTCAAGGAAGACCTACCTGCAACAGACCCTGAGGAATAGCCAACACGGATGTTGGCGTCAGCCAGTCCATTAAGGATGGCCTCTTTAATAAACTTGTCTAAGATCTTCCCTGGGATAGAGGTCAGGCTGATGGGCCTGTAGTTCGCCGGATCCACTTTCCTCCCTTTCTTGAAGACAGGCACCACATTGGCCTTGTTCCAGTCTTTGGGCACTACACCAGAGCAAACTTTGACACCCACAAAAGATTCAATCCTTCAAGCAAGCAAAGAACCACTGAAGAACTCATGAAAAATACATACAAACCTCGTCTACAATGCCAAATCCATTTTCTCCTTCTGCATGTATTTCCCACCTGTGAAGACTTTCCTTATGCAGCCAGAAAACTGACAGGTTCACTTTTAAAATATATCAAAACCTAGCAAAGCTGCCTAGTTTCGATGATCAGCTGAATTTCAGAAAAAAAAAGTATATTATCAATTCTAGGAAAAATACAATCTTCCCCAGTGGGTTCTTTAACATAATGAAAGACCCACGATGCAGCTACTAGCTAATAAAGCAAACCCTTTCCCAGTGATAGAACAGATAAGGCACCGGAAAGAAAGAGTCAAGAAAAATAGCAAACTGAAAGTGATAGAAAAATGTAGATCTGAAATGCAATTTGTCCAATAAGGGCTTGATCCTGGGAGGCTCTGAGAACCAGACAATGGGAGGTGGGAAAAAGCTTAGTTATTGGCAGAAGGACTGAGCAGGATTCTCTTAGATCATAGAACATGAGAGTTGGAAGGGACCTCAGGAGGTCATTTAGTCCAACCCACTGCTCAAAGCAGGACCAGCCCTAACTATCTCATAGCAGTCAAGGCTTTGTCTACTCGGCTCTTAAAAACCTCCAAGGATGGAAATTCCGCCCTGGGTACCCTGGTCCAGTGTTTTGCTACCCTCCTCATGAGAAAGTTCTTTCTAATATCTAACCTAAACTTCCCTTGCTGCAATTTCATAAATTCATAGATTCATAGATTTAGGGTTGGAAGGCACCTCAATAGATCATCGAGCCCGACCCCCTGCATAGGCAGGAAAGTGTGCTGGGTACAGATGACCCCAGCCAGATGCCTATCTAACCTCCTTTTGAAGACCCTCAGGGTAGGGGAGAGCACCACCTCCCTTGGGAGCCCATTCCAGATTTTGGCCACTCTAACTGTGAAGAAGTTCTTCCTAATGCCCAGTCTAAATCTGGTCTCTGCTAGCTTATGGCCATTATTTCTTGTAACTCCCAGGGGCACCTTGGTGAGTAGAGCCGCACCAATTCCCTTCTGCGCCCTCATGATGAATTTATAGGCAGCCACAAGGTCACCTCTCAACCTTCTTTTGCAGAGGCTGAAGGGGTCCAGGTGCCCTAGTCTCTCCTCGTAGGGCTTGGCC